CATGAATAAAACCCTCAGGTATTTGATGCAGCTTACTCTGGATCATTGTTCAGAGCCAATCGATATCGGTTCCAATGGGTAAGAAGAACGTGATATGTAGACAGACATTCGAAATATTTGGAGGGATTATGAGAGAGAGGCCGAAATCTTCCACGAGGCACTCATGAGTTGTAATCACTTGCCATCGGGGAAGGACCGCGCTGCACTTAGTTCATTGACAGTTCACTATAATCGTTTATCATAAACAAAAATTAAACATTTAGAGTATCAAGCTTCGATTTGATTATTCAGAGGAACCAGACCCTGTTGCTGGTAATGGGTATGGGGTTCACTCCATGAGAGATCGTTGATTTTCCACTAGTCAAATGCATTCAAATGCAATGGGAACGTTTGCGATAACCGACAAAACGTGCAGTGCACAGCTGTTTCGTCCTGTTTGGGACTCGTCAGCAGTGCGTACGTTTTGTGTCCCTGCCAGGACTCAAATCGCTAGCGAAGGCAACAGCTGTCCAGTGCTCTTTATCGGTTATCACAAACATTTATACTCATCCATCAATTGCCTACGGTTCCAAACCTTATGTGTGACAACATACGTTCAGATGCGATATCCACGTTATGGTCACATGATCTCCACCATCGCTGCGCATTATTTGTCCTGAGGGAGTGTGTCCTTGAATTTGAGCAAAGATTAATCGATCGTACTTGTTGTGGCATTTGATGGGTTCATCAGGTGGAAGATGTTTTACCGGGGGTGGGGGTGGAGTTTAATAATTACCTCCCTTAATCCCGATCGTTTATATGCGCCATTGTGGTGGTAGTTCCATTCATCCACTAGAATTCATCGTTTGAACAATGAAAAAAATTGTAGAGCCAATTAGGAGATTCAGGCCGTGGGACACTCAGACAGTAATACACTTATTTCACGATCTGTCTGAAGTCGTGTAGAACCGGAAAAGTATTTCCTACCACTCGTATTTCTACTTTGCCGAACGATTACAAACAGAAAGTTTATTATTCCCGAAGAACGTAAAGCCTGAGTAAAAACCGCAAATGAATTGGATCACGCGATTCTCTCTCTTCTAACCAATTAGACAAAATGGCAGAGTCTCTTCTACATCGAACTAGATAAGCCTATCTCCTGGACACACGTTGTGGAGTATCAGCATTTCCCTCTTTGAGATTGATTCAAATCCTGCATCGCTCACTTGAAACAAACTGTTAGGTTGTGAAAGTTTCAAAACCGAGTCATAACCCCGGAGGCTAGTGCTGCGATGCGCGAGACGCAATACCCGCACGAAGTTTGGAACGATGGGTAGTGCTATAGCGTGTAAATGGAAAATAAACAGCGATCTGATCAGCTGTTTAGTGACCGAGTGGACGGCATACTTGCGTTCTGTCCGTGACGTCCCGGATTCGATCCCCATTTGGGTCGATGGATTCGCACTACTGATACAATCGAACCAGTTCGAAACAGCTGTTCAGTGTTTCCTAGCTTTTTAGTTCAATGTATGTGAATTCGTCCGAAATCATTTAAAAATATGACCTGGTTAAGAAAAAAACCATATGGTACCTGAATAACAGCTTTCCAGATGTTGTTTTTAAATTTCGATAAGAAACCTCAAATTCCTTACACAAAATTGTCTAAGCCGAGAATTTCATAATAACTTCACTGGCTTGTATCAGAAAAAACTCAAAAATTCGCTACCGCTTTCAACCACTTTCATGTCGTATTTACCGGTTCTTTTTGAGGTGGTTAAATTGTGTCAGAACTGAAAGAACACACACGTTAAGCGGGGTGATCGCATTTCGTTTTATTTCCTCTCGATTGTTAACGTGAAAACTGTTCAGCACACACAGAGAACGTCAGATTGGAAAATGTTGTCGAAGGAACGTCAACAGATAGATAGATAGAGTTCTAAAATTAGAAGCACAAGACCAATGCCACGGCACGTTAACGGACTGTGTCAATAACTTTTGGTTCTACACAAAGCGGGATAGTGTGATCGGATTCTTAAGGTACAACTGACCACGAATAGCTTTCCATTACGGGTTAAGTCATAGTAGTTTGGAATCAGAACGTGAGATCAATTGCCTATTTGGTTTTCATGCGGCCTTTCTTCGTGACAGATGACTCCGAGCTCTTTGTGACTATCGGGTGTGGGTTGTGTCATCATCCAGTTCGTCAACTAGTTTGGCATGTGTTCGATCATTTGTTGTGATAGTTACTGGTGGGTTTTGACCATGTCTGCGTCACAGACACTGCAGGCGAAACCCGTGTGCAGTGTAGGTATGTGTGCATCAAAACCAATACGTGAGCCATGTTCATGTTTGACTACGTCGATTCTCTGGGTAGAGGACACAAGAAGAAGAATTGGTCCTACTAAGCTGCGTATAGCTACGCCATCACTCTGGTCGTATGTAGAGTTTTCAAGCGGCGATGGGATTAGAAATATCCACAAACAATTGAACGATTTTGTAATATGGTTGCTATGAGATACTACTCATATTTGTGAGTAATTTGCAAGAGGAAGAGATTGGCAGTTTCTTTCAGCTGTCAAAATGAACAAGACTTGTTGGAACATATTGCTGCTGTTCAGTATGGTAAATAAGAGAATACGCATCTACTGATGGACCAATTCATGAACTATGTATGCATGCCTGAGGGATTTCTAAAGACTCGCTCCAAATGTGACATTTTATCTATATCCTGACCGATTTTCATAATGAATATCTATCCTCATCCAGGCACCTAATTGTGGAATTATAACATGGTATGCATGAAGTAAGTCCCGGTGGAGTCTCGGACTTATGAGATTTAGGTTTCTACTCTGTCCCAATTGACTCACATTTGTTGTTCTGGACTTTGCGCGTACCGGCAAACGCTTTGGCTCTTGGTGATAAAACCTTCGATGGGGCGGGGATGGAGTGGCTCTTGCACTGTCCGATGCGTTCAATGATTGGAAAATCACATGGATCACGTCATGCACAGCGAGCAGTCAGTCCAATTCCCGACAGAGTCTTACTGAAGAAAAAGGAACCATAACTTATCCATTTGCTGCTACCTCAGACGTAACACCTAACGCAATCGACCGTGTGCGAAACATCCAAAATAGCCGCGACCTTCACATGCAGGATGTGTTTTTCATCAATCTGATTGGACGAAAACCAATACCAGAATTATTTCCGGGCTGGTGAACCAATTGCTGCGTACCTCGGGGGAATAGACCAAAAATCTGATTACAAACCACGAAGAGAAATCACCTTCAACTCCTTGATTGTGAGAGTGGTAACCGTTTTGATTTCATGGGTTACGGGACATCTGGCGCGTTTGATTACGTCCAAAGGATGTATGCTTCAATGCCCTAGTCACTGTGTTGCAGTTTTCACGCCTCACACGTGTTTCAGGATTCGGATGACCAAAACTGGGATTATGAATTGTTCAGGGAAACTTACTTACATTTGCCTCAATAAAAGGCAATTATTGTTGTAGAGTCTGGAATCAGATATTTCTAAATTACTTACATACACCTCTTGTAGCTAACGAACTGTATTTTGTGAATAACAACTTTCAAGAAAGTATTTACAAAAATCTGTGGTCTTTGATGACATCACGTTATTTGTGGATGATGCCAAATAATTCCCCGGGTTTTCATAAAACAGCTCCTGTAATGCGAACGTAATCCAAGCTCTCGCAACGGAGAGGCGCGATAGGATGTTCCTTGGCTTGTATTCTCGCAGTGGGAGATGATACGCGGTAACGAACGACGACGGGGAACGACGCTTGGGATGCGGGACACGGGACACTTGAAGACAGCTAGATCCTATGTGGGTCGGCGTTGAAGTTAAACTTTCAAGGCAAAGCAAACAAAACGCCGTGAACGAAAAAAGCACACGGAGGTACAAGCAATCACGAAAGAAATGTTACTGGAGCGGTTGCCAACGGAGTTCCACTTGTAGTGAATCCAGTACACGCATTTAGCTGATGAGACCGAACATGATCGAAACTACTTAAATGAGGAGAAATGAAAGCTGAATCACGTAACAAATTACTTGATTCAGTCATTCGAGCCGGATGGGTTCATAAACAGGCTAACTATTCGCCATAAGAACTAAATGATTGACCATCGCATTCCCCTACAGTGCATTTCCAATCACTTACCTTCAAAAAATTACATCCGGANAGCTTGTTTTCCAAGCGATCAGAAAATAAAATGGAGGAGTGAGATCCAACCCCCCTCCCGATATACAGGAAAACCTTGTGACGGTCCCGACGGTTCATGTGCTCCTGGCATGAAATGCATGCGAGCAAGTTACCTTGTCATCATCGTATATACGGCTGAGGATCTGTAGTGGACTGGGGTGCCATTTTAGGTTTGTATTTCTCGACGGAAATCGGACATCTGAATCTTGCGTCAAAACGAATTCATTCTCTTCGTACTTCCAGCACATTGTGTGGGAACTATAAGTTCCCAGCGAGAAAATACCTTTGCTTATAGAGCCCACTTCACTAGAATGTGGTTACCGCACCGGAGGATCACTGAACTGGCCAGCCCCAAGCACAGGTTTGAACCCCAGTGAAAATGTTTAAGGTCTGTGGACGCATTGTTGCGTTTACGTGCAAAGAGAGTTGATCCACACTTTTCACGCATCAAAAACATGAAACCTCAACAGGCGGAATATTTTCGACGTTCAAACAATCCGGAGCCTGATTAGAGTGTTCTATTTTAATGCTGAATAATAATTGGCGAGTAAATCTGGTAATTAGTCGGAACTTTGCACAACCAGTAAAATAAATTAACAATAAAATGTATCGTATGATATGCATTCAAAAAAGAAAAACATTCTGATTCAATTGCTGTTCAGCGCCGGTTGAAAGAAACCGCATTAGAAGACTGAGGTACAGAAGAATCGAAGATTCGGTGTGTCCATCTTACGTGTTCATCTTACTACCATGAGGCTACGATTGATTTGAAACTTTCGATCTCCCACACCTACAGGACATGGATCCGGCTGGAGTAGGCAGTACCTCAGACGAATGCGTAGATCAAGTTCGTGAGGAGAGGGATCTCACAGAGTTGGTCGGGGAGAATGTGGGCTATGCCACTGATTCAATCACGTTTGTTTCAGCCGGAAAAATCGTTGGAATCCTGTCCAACAATGACCCAAACTCGGACGGGGCCGGTATCCATTGGTTACCAGACCTAGTTGTACTGTTTGCATGTTTATGTGTGTAACTATAACTCAGCGTTCAATCTATTTGTTAAAATAGACGTGTGTTTTGGAACCGATCAATAAGTTGAGGTGTAGTAGATAAGTTGTGAGCAGGATGCACCGAATCCCTGGCGCACTGATATAACCTTAAATGGTCAATATTTTTGCGCGCATAGCTCAAAATTGCTAACGAATGAATGTGTGCATCAAACTGCCTTGCACAGTGAAACATAACCTCATCAATAGACCGGATATTAAGTGGAAGAACGCAAAGAGGTCACTGACAGAACGTGACAGGTCTGGACCGAACAGAAATGGAGAGATTAAACATGTACCTCTTCAGCTCATCCAAAATTGCCGACGAAAACATGAACTCTGATGTTTGCAAAAATACATGCAGACTGATGAGGGAACAAGTTTCAATCATTACAATACTGCTGAACTTTCTCGTTCCGTCTCTTCGAAGCTTAACAAACATGCATCGGATATTCAAAAACAAAGCCAGGGGATAATTCGAAAATTAAAATCTACAAATTGGAGGAGAGTTGTGCAGCATTGGCGGGTTTCAAAATAAAAACAATACAACAAGATGGGCAGACGACCCCATGGCAAATGTGTAGCAGAAGCACATGTATTCCGCAGAAGTTTAAAATAAAATATTCTGACACGAAACTCGATAATGCACCGTTAGAGCCTTGGAAAGGACACAAAATTTCATTGGATACATAAATAATATTCTTTAAAGAAACTGCCATTAGGTTTATTATTTTCTCATTCACAATGTATAAACCACAGCAATTACGATGGACTACACCACTTCAATTCTGAAGTAGTGCGGTGATACTCAATGAAGGAAGCACAGAAGTTCCTGATCCTGCGATCAAAGTACACGTTATGTACATTCGATCGGTGTTACGGTTCTTTTTGTCCGTCGGGCAAGTGTATATTCTCTATTTATCAGTCAAGTCATTTTCACACTAGTGTGATGTACTATTCACATTTGTGAAAAGCATGCAAAAGTGCAGTTGGTGGTATCCTTCAGACATCAAAAGATTTGTTGTATTGTATTCAATCTTTAGCGAGTTTATACAAAAATTTTCAACCAAAAAGTTGACCACTGTTACAATTCTGGTAAACAAAAACAGGGGGGGAAAGTGGGATGTGAAAACGTACAAAGGTATGAGTTGATTACCAAATGCATTAGAAAGCTCAGAACGAACACTTTCCCTGTCAGTCAGTATCCGGGTAAGGTACGGTACCAAAGAGTTTCGGTATGCGCATATGCGAGACGGGATAAGTTTGAACTTGGAACGGGTGCAGGGGTAGGATTTGCATGCACACAAGTCAGTGTGTAGAGGATGGGTGCAATCAGATAGGATATTGTCAGCAAACTTTAAGCATACATCAATATGGGCATTACATATATTGCCAATCAGAACAGATAATGGAACTTGGGAGACACGGCTGATCACTGAGAGGCCACGCCTCAGCAACTTGAAATCAGCCTTCAACAAACCAGGGAAAATTACAGGAGAGCAATAAAGGGGTATAGGGAGGACACATTGTTGAACGAAAGTGTTTATCATCGACGAGTCAGAACAGAATTGGCGCAGTCTTCTGATCTGAAAAGAGAACCTTTTCAACTTGCGAGCAATATTTTGGGTATGTAAGGACCAGCGAAGGTTACTTTCAAGTGTGACACCTAAGTACTTCACATGGCTGACTCTACTCATTGGCTTTCCATGAATCTGCACATTGTCAGAGGGAGATGGGGTACAGTTTAGAGTAAAAATACATTAAAGGCATTTTTCAGGATTAAGATTAGGACCGGAAGAAGTGGAATATGAAACGAGGTGGGGTAGGTTTGTATTATATGCAGCCAGTTCGAATTGGTTAGATATGGAAACAGAAATGGCGATATTATCAACATACTTAAAATGTCGAATAGGTGGAGTAACAGGTAAGTCACTAATATAAGTCGAAAAAGATAAGCTGATAGGACAGCACCTTGAAGTACACCCGAGTGAGTGATGCGGTGGATTGTCTTAGAGTAAAAATAGATTCAAGGCATTTTTCATGATTGACGCTTGTTAAGTAAAAGACAGCGGGGCATCGAGTCGAAAGCGGAGGATTTACAGATGAAATGAACTAGAGAAGAAATGGTATCTAATGTAGAGCGGTTATGTTTGTATGCAAACTCATTAGCGTCATCAGGGGTAGTAAGGGATAGCTGAAGACGA